CTTTTTTTATAATTAAAAAAAAAAAAAAAGCCATGTCAAACATGATCACATTCCTACATCGAGTGAAAACAAAGGAACCGGTCGTCATGTTTTCACTGCAGTCCCCTTCCATCAGGATTAAGAACTGAGTCACAGCTACCCATGTAGTTTTTGCCTGTGTTACACACTGCAGCCTCGTAGACCCAATAGATATTTCAAAGTCAGTATTTTTGGCAGGAAGGAGTTAATTAGCTGCTAGGCATAGGAAAAAACTTCCTCTACTATGAACTTGTGACAAAATAGATCATATTAATTCTACAGTCTACTGAGAAGAGTTTCTTTTAAATTCACGCCCAGAAAGTGAATTCTGCTATTACACACATAGTTCCTCGTCCCCTCTTACACTGCTAGCATTAGGTAGCCAAGAGCTAAATGTGTGTGTTTGGCTTTTTACTGTACAATAAACAGTGAAAAATGTTAGTCTGGATTTTTCTACTGAGTACTGCCAGCATATATTCCATGCTGCTTTCCATAAGGAAATAAACATCTACACCTGGTTTAGTGCCTTTGGTGGATGGTATACTAGAATTACAGTGTTTTTTCTGAAGCATCCAAATGCTATAGCGGTTTAACGGGGCAGGGGGGTGGGAAGAGGAGGCTCCCCTTGGGGAGAGAAAAGGTGACGAATGTGGGACAGATTCCCCAGCCAAATTGCATTTTAGATTGTGGGATATAGACAAAACCAAATGAGTATCGAGTTCTTCCTGACTGAAGTCAGTATCCGTCTCAGAGCCATTTTCTTCCCGGGAGCTTGGTCTCAGTAAAGAAGCTGTCAGCGCGAAGCTACTATTACATGGCTTCCTTCTCTTTGCAGAAAAAAGTCTGCTGCTGCCCCATGACATTTTTCACTCAGTAAAATATTTAGGCCATGGTTGATTACAATGTGTCTGGTGAAAATAGGTCAAGTTTGGTATTTGAATGCCCTGGAAAAACGGGCAATGTGTTTGCCATATGCATCAATATCTGTCCTATTTGAAAGGACGCTTTTAGGTCTGGACAGTGGCAAACCTGGCTTTGGAGTTGGAAATTTGATAGTTATGACTGCTGCTGAAGAGAGTAATTAGAGGGCGTTTTCTGCATTTGAACTAACCTTCAAAGCGAGACTTTCCTCACAGTATTTTCTGGCAAGCGGGAACACATCTGTGCAGTAAAAAGGTCTCTAAGAAGTAGGTTTAAAGAAGTCAGCTAGAAAAAGCTTACTCTTAATGTATTTGTGTATTTGTATCCTCAAAATAAGACTTATGAGTAATTAAGGAACTATGTAGATGTGTGATGACAGAGGGTAAATTTAATAAATATTTGTATTTTAAAGTATGCCTTTAGGAGTAAATTAGTTACAAGAATCTGTTGTTTGCTTGATTGTTTTGCAGTGGTTTTTCCCTCCCAACTTGCCTCAGTGCAAACTTTTCAGCTTTTTCAATCTTTCCTTTTCCCAGGGTAGACTCATACTGATGTTTAGGCTGATCCTACAAGCTGGAAAAAGTGCATCTGCCGGAGCGCAGTACAGACACTGTTTACTGCTCCCTTGTCAGATGGAGGACAGTGGTAACAGTGAAAAAGATGTACTGATAGTCTCAGTACCGCTATTACTCTATCAGTATGATTACAGAAATCAGTTGATGGGCCAAGTGATCTCTCGCTCGCTACACCAATTAAGAGAGATGTGAATAATCTTTTTCCTCTCTCCCAATTTTAGCGCAGAACGTCACAGTGGTTTCAACGAAATGGACCTATGAATATCAACCACTACGCAAATAAGAAGAGCGCTGCGGAGAGCATGTTGGACATTGCCCTGCTGATGGCCAATGCGTCCCAGCTGAAAGCTGTGATGGAGCAAGGACCTTCTTTTTCTTTCTACATCCCACTTATCATTCTTATCAGCCTGTCGCTCACACTGCAAGTTATGGTGGGAGTGCTCCTGATATTCCTTGGTATGTAGCAACAGCGAGAACCATTGACATGTATTTTTCTTACAGGATGCAATCTATAAGATGGTATATAAGATATGGTATACAGACTCCCCATTTATTTTTAAAAAGCTGTTATATTTGAAAGTCTTTACCTCAGAATTGATTAAAGTTTTCTCCTAAGACCATAGAAATGTTGCAACAAAAGGAGTAAGGGCAGCTGTATGTGGAATCTTCAATTTTGATCAACTTCCTCATACTCATTGGCCCAGAGTATGAATATTTTTCTTTTCAGAAGGCCTGAGGAGGAAGGAAAATGATGAAATACTGTAAAAGAAACATTCATAGGCCAGATAGGATCATGCAGCCTGCCCAGTTTCATAATATTGTTTCTGGCAAGACCTGTTACTTAATCTTATGACTGAAATGTATTTGTTCCATATCAGTCATATCATAAGTAATATTATAAGAATATGTTGTGAACGTAGAACTCTGAAACAGAAGTAAAGTTGAAATGTCCATCTTCATGTTGGTGTGGCATATTGTCTTCAGTTTGTTTGTGTTTCTGCAATCAAATGAAAGGTTTGATAGCAAAGGCTTGACAATAATGAAAAAAAACCCCTTAGTTTTAAATTTAGGAAATTATTCAAAGCATCCTAAATCTCTAGGTGGGGAATGGGAGAAATGTAGTTGTTACTGTTAATTTTCAAACCTGTGTTAAACTGAAATTAAAGTTAAAAAGAAAAATAGGCTACTTGGAGCAAGATTTCACCGTAAGAACATACCTCATCTATTATCCACATACTATGACTTCAGTCAAAAAATTTGAAATGACATATAATACGAAAACACAGTCCAAGTAGCATCCTGGGACTAAAAATAGATTGTCTTGAATTCTGCTTATCGCTAGGGAAACCTTTTCTACTTTCTACCAAAGAAATGTGATGCAACACCCCTAACATATGCTAGAAGTCATTTCAAGAGAATGAGTTCAAATAGGAGTTGTGTTAGTGCATGCTTTGGACACATTTAATGAGACAGCTGCAGAATTAGTTCCCTGCTCCCTGCCTTCCCCCTTCTCCCCTTTCTGTCTTGTTTGTTGAATTACGGACCTTCACGTTCCCAGAAGTTCAATGCAGTGTCTTTGCTGTTCTCAAAAATAGAGGTTCCGCTGTTCAGTATTAATAGGTACAATGCTGTGAGGCACAAGAACCAGTACTTATCACTAAAAATTAGGTATTTTAAGTTAGTATTGCTAGATTAGTAGCACACGTATGTCATATATCCTCTGCCTTATTCTGTAAGGCAGAATATTGATCTAAGTAGCTATAGAACCAGGCTCATTTCTAAAACAGTGTCATCACTAAGCATGAATTACCCAAAAAAGCCCAACTAAAACTCCACAGAGAGTGGAGAGACAGCACTCTTCTGGAAATCTGAGTTTTCTGTTTTGACCTTAAACAAGTCTTCAATACTTCTCTTTGCTATCTTAACTTACTGTGATATTTCCCCCCCATGCTTTTGCAAGGCAAAATGCGAAAAGAATCCAGTGGCACTTTGCAAAGTTGCTGAAAACCTGCAACATTCATTAGCAGCACCCAAAACCCTAGACCATAACTTTGGAGAGTCGATCGAAGGATACCTGTGGAAATCAGAGGAAATGTTTAGGTTTCAGCATCAGTTGAACCCCATTATTCACTGAAATAAATGACACCTTCACTGGTAGGAAACAGCTATGGATCACTTCTTTTGCTAGTGATATACGATCATTTATTCTCATAGCTTTTTTCAAATCTTTCCCTTTAAATTAATGGGTACTATATGATAGATCATAAGTCTACCGTAAATGAAAAGCCTTGAAGGTGATAGCCAGAGTTCACACATGGCATTTACTAAGTTATAGGTGCCACCTTTGGCATCTCTGTTAGTCTTTCAGTGTTCCGGTTTTTAGCACAACTGAAAAAACAACTTTCTGTTCAAGGAGGAAGTTCCTAGGAAACCAGGAGACATAAGGCTTGTAATATTGATATGCAGCTGATGTAGCTTTTTTCTTTCTTACGAAACAGACAGAATACAGCTGTCTCTGCATTTGGTAGAGTTGGTACAAGAGCAAAATCCATGTCCTGGCTCAGAGGAGATTCCAGAAAGGGACTGGAAAGAGCAACCTGATTATACTGGGGGATGTGGAAAAATGGAAAAATCAGCAGAACACTTATATGTTTCTTGGCTGAAGGCATCTCCTTGGTGGTTGTTTCAGTTAAGCAGGCTTTGAGGCTGTAAACAAGTTCCCTGGTTTTTGTCAGGCAATAATTTCTCGGTATATGCTGAGACATTGCTTTTTAATGCTTGTTTCTGCCAGACATTGCCGAAGTGGCTTCCATCTCTGTAATTTTTATCTTTGTCACATTGAGAGGAAAGAGAGGACCCAGCAGCCCCAACTCCCAGGCTGGGCTGAGGTAGAGTTCACAGACCACTTAGCAAATAGTGAGATTCATCAGGAGTTCAGCCTGCGCTCTGCAGTCAGCAGTGGCTGTAGGTTTGGCGTACCGAGGGTGACAAAGCCCTCGGCTTATAGCGGTATGCTGTTGGAGTGATGCTGTCATGCTGAGGTCAAAAGTACTGAAGATAGGAAATAGGATATGAAGGTACAAAGATACAGGCATCATAGCAAGAACTTGCTTTTCACAATGTGTATTTGGTAGTTTTGGCCTGCAGGAACAGTTTGCCTTTCTGTCCAGCCACAAAACTCTGCCTCTTACCAGCTCTCACAAGTCCAAACAAAAGTCTGTGCCACCATCCAGTTTCTTTCCTTGAGCCAGAGTTTTATCCCAGGAGCTACCAGTTCTCCCAGTTCTCTACTAGGGATTAAAAGCTTTTCCTCCTTCAAGAGAGCCTTTCACAAAAACATTTTGAAAAATGTTCAGCAAACTTGTCCTTGAAAGTGATTTGGTAATCTTAAATTTTTGGAAGAAAAGCAAAGAATGTCTTGAAATAGTTTAAGTGGCATGAAATCATAGTAATCTAATCCCACTATAATAAAATACTTAAAGAATAGCTGTTCTTAAAAACATTTTCACAAACACCCTCATCTTAAATACTATAATCACAAAGATAGGATTACTGCAATTGTACTTCAAAATTCAGAGCATCGCCTGAAGTGACAAGCAATACTTGTCTTCTCTGACCCTTATTTGGACAAAGGGACAGCTCTGAAAGTGACAATTCTCTTTTGAGCATGATTTCTTTTAACTCACAAAAGACGTTAGGCCTTTATTGACTTTTCTTTTTTAAACCAACTGTCTGAAATGCTTTTCTTCCATACTTCAGGATTAATTAATTATTCCATTTCATTTATTCAGCTTCATTCACATGACAGTACTAGAGTCCTTCCAGGTACTGTTGGGATGCAAGCGTCCATGTAGTTCCAGATGCTTTACAGACATGTATAAACTCATTTTCAGGGTTAAGTACTGCTGAGCTTGAATTATTTCATGCCTACACAGGTGTGCTTAAGCTTAAGCTTTTCAGATAGTTCCCCCACGCTGTTCTTCAGTGCTTTGACTGGCCTGTGATGTTTGACTATACTGCTTTAGCAAACAGGACTTGAACAGACGCCCAGAATTCCTTGAAACCAAAACAGCATTAGACTTCCTAATTAGGGACACCAAGTGAACATGGCTTTTAATACTTCAGCATCATGAGTGTGTTTGCCACCACTTCCACTTAACTGCTTCAACAAGCAAGTCTTGGTTCTGTGGTTAAGTTCTGCAGTGTTGACAGGGTCATTATGTTAAAAGCAAATAACAAAGTTTATCTATCTCGTGCAGTAGAGTCGTAAGCCTCGCATCTATGTATGTGCCTATCAGAAGGAGCTCAGAGTTTTATTTGTGTTGCTGTAAAAACCTGTTGGGTATGAACTTTCTCTGACATGTCCTGTACATGCACACACAAGCTCCAGTGATCTATGCATTTAAGAACTAGGACTTTTAATAGACAAAAACCATTCTCAAAACACTCTCCAGAATTCATCTTCACTCATTCCATCAGCATCAAAGAAATTTAGCAGAGGGTCTGAGTTGCAGAGCCCTTACTGCAGGAGAACAGAGACAGAGGAAAATCTTGGGTTTCGCATGATGCCAGACAAGTGCCCCCAGACTTCTTACTGTCCTGTACAAGCACACGCTTTACTCTATCATCAAGTCTATTATCATTCCAGCGTAAGTCATTTATATGTTTTCACAAGGCCTGGAATCAAAGCTTAAACTAAATTAATACTATCTCCCTTGTGTGTTCCTCCCTCACTGCCATTAGCAGTTCACCCAAAGAACAACTGCAAGAAACAAAAGAAATTGTTTACACAGCTGATGCTCTCTGTAAAAAGGACTGCAGCTACACTGCTTTGAAATCTTCCTCTGTTTAACAGATATAATGCTCTTGCTTCCTAAAAACAGAATCAGTGCAAAAGCAGGGAGTACGGCTGGGGAAGGGCACCAGTACAAAAAAAATCCAGCACTGGTAGAGAGATTGGGCTGTCTGCGAAGAATCTGTAGCATTTTAACTAGGAAATTTAACTTCATTACGTTCTGTCTGGGCTTCAAGCTTCATGTATTCAAGACTGAAATAATTTTTAAATGCTTAAAGTCTGCAACAAAACTAGGTTCCAAAAGATCAAGAACTCAGAAGATTTCTAGTAATGTTTGTGTATCTATTACTTCCCATGTGCATCCACAGAGATTAGATGCTAATTACTGGAAGCTAATAAGCTCCTTGTGGTTAAAGATCTTAGCACTTCTACTGACACTGCAGAATCTTACTTCCCTTTTAAGTATGACTGATGCAAATAGCTCAGAGTAAGAGCAACTCTTGAACTACATGAGTAGCGAAGACTTTTATTCTGGATTTTGAAATATACATATAATTAAAACTTTTTTTTCCCTTTCTCTTTGAAGTAAAATATGACCTTAACAACCCTGCAAAACATGGAAAGCTGGATTTCCTCAACAACCTTGCAACTGGACTAGTATTCATTATAGTAGTTGTGAATATTTTTATCACTGCCTTTGGAGTGCAGAAGCCAATTGCTGAGTCAGCGTCAAGACAGTAAGTACAAGGTGAGTGTGGTCTCTCTGCACCATAAGGTAGTAGGGCATAGCATACAAGAATGCAGCGCACACTAGGGCATAGCTTTAAAAACAGCCACGAGCTTATCTATACAGTTCTAGCCTTTGCAGATAAATGAGTTTACTTCAGACTAGTGCAAAAGCAAAAGATGGTAGGAACTGCTAAGTTATTACAGTGTGTTTTTAAATGTAGAGTTCAAAAATTGATGGCAGCATCTTACTTTGCCAGGGGCCCCTTGCATGTGTCACGCATAGGAAGTGTGAAGATTGTCCTTGTGGCTTAGCCACTCCTTTTCCTCATTGCTGACTAAGCCAAGAAGGGAAATAATATTGTTTTGCTTCCTCCAAATGCCGCTTCTTTTTTTAAGAAAGTTTTGCAGTATACTGCATCTAGTCTGTTATGAACACTGACTTAATCTTTATCCAAGTAACTAGGGCTATTAAGTCCAACATATAATATTACACATCACTGGAGCCCTTCAGTTCCTATGCAGATAGTGTGGCTTTTCTGTCCTCCCAAGCTGCAGGGCTTTTGCTTTGTGGGAGACTCAGCTCGCAAAGATGTGCACTATCACTTTACTTGATACACGTGGTCATTTAGAACAATACTGTTTGCTACACCTGCATTTTAAAGTTTGTTATTTACTTATACAGAAGGGTAAATATAGGAATTGGGGGAGTCAAAATGGGTATCTTCCTAGCATCATAGCTATGATGAACAATTTGGGAGGAGATAAACCTAAATTGTAGGCTTGTAGCTCAAGAAGCACTACAGTACAACATCTGCTTTTAAAATAGCACTGCTAAGTCTCTGTGTGCCAGCATTGCTCTGGCTCTTTATCTTCCAAATCTCAAATCACGTTCAGAAGACCTGCTGAAGAAGGAATTACTTGACTTTCCTGGCAAGCCACGGTACGCTGGCTACTATGCAGACAGCCCATACATGTAACATTACAGGTTTGAGTTAACTTCTAGATGAAACCCTTCCACCATGAGAAAGAAGATAACAAGGCCTTTAAACCCTTAGTCTGAAGGTGAATGTAACAAGAATGGAAAGCAGACCAAATTCTATCAAGACTCTAAACAGCGTGGGGGGAAATCAGTGCAAGAAATTACTGGGAAGATGAAGAATGAACTTCATTTATTTCGGGGTGTGGGCGGAATCATCTGCTTCGTCCAAAACCTGTGAAATTCTGGCAGTGAAGCAAGATAGTTTTATCGTATTTTCTGCCCGTAGTCTCTACAAATAAACTAATAAATATTTCATTTTAGCAGCAAAGAGCACATAGATTATCTGAGATATTATCAGAATTATAGGTAGAACGTCCATCTCAGCAGTACGTATTAAAACAATACTGAAAAACTAACCACAAAATTGCACTGGCAAAGCCAAGAGAACTGAATGAAGGATTATTGGAATTTTAGCTGTCTTCACGGGAAAAAACATGCACAATAGCCAGGAACAGAGGCAGAGACAAGAATCTGAAATAGGCACCAAGAAATTCAAATAATGGACAGGGTGGCATACCAGAATCCCAGCTGCGCCTCTTTTTGATACAGTGAAAGAAAAACTTAAGAGGGAAGAGAGGAGAAGCAGTTTTTGCGTATCACACTGATGTGTGCTGAGTAGAGAGGAAGATGAGTTGACAATCCAATCCCAAGCCAGTTAGTGCCTTAATATAACGGTCAGCTAATAGCCAGAAGGTAGGTATCGCACACCTTGCCTCACCAGGATACTGGATGGGTGAGCTCACCCGCATTTCATCTGCTATTTCTCTACTAGTACCGCGTTCTCTAATGAGGTGCCTTACTGATTCTCCCCAGTACCAGCGCCAGCTCTGCTCCCTTTTTGATCTCTCGCTGGCTTTTAGGAGATGCTGCTTCTGCAGTGTTTCCCAAACACGACTGCTGTATTTCTCTACGGCAGAACTCAATACTGAAGTGTTTGAAGAACCCTGCAGCTGTTACAGAGTTTGCAGGACATCTGTTTTGTGTGTCACAAGCCAGTTCAGCTCTGGGCAGCACTAACATGCCAGGCTGGCTTCTGAACATTGCTGTGCGTTAGCTCTTTAAACATGTAAAGTGCATCCCCCTGCAAATTTCTACCCCCTGTCCATGGACTTTGTCTCCTTTCCCCTTCCTTCACACACATATGTGGCTAAGTCTTACAGAAACATCAGTGGTTCTGTGCAATGTCTTACTGCTTAGCTGGCACCGTCTGGCAAGAAGGGGCTCTTCACAGCATTTGTGTTGGAGTTTCTCCTCTGCTATTCCTTCTGCTCTCCATAAACTGTCAACCCAAAGGGTTCTGTGGCTTAATTATGACTGGGATTGCGGAATCTCTAGTTAGAAAGCCAGGTCTTAAATGAGAAATGAGGTCACATGTAACTTGTCTGAGATCATCATGCGAGCATAAAACACGGTTCTGCCTAGTGGATGGTACTAGCTCATACAGCTGTATATCATATATCGCATATAGCTATGCACAGCCAGAGTATTTGTTCACATACATAAACGTGATTGGTATCTACTGCTGAAATTGGTTTAATAAACTTGCCGTGCCTCAATAAAGGAGAAACAGTAGCTGTTTTATGTAACCTCAGGTAGAGGCAAGACCAAAGGATGTTTAAAGCAAGTTTACATCTGTACAAAACCAGCAGCTGTGTGATCCTGCCTTCATGCTTCTCACACATGCAGTTTCTTAATAAAATGGCCAAATGTCTGGGACCTGTGGTTTTTTGCTCCACACTTGTTAAATGTGGAAGTTCTTCATTGCTTTGGAACGCTACATCTGTTGTTTGCTCGTTTGTACATATTGCCCTTGCTAAAAACACCCGGCCATCTGAATGTAACTTGAAAAAAAAGTCTTTTTCAGTCTGCTGCCACAATCTCCTCAAAGCCCTGAGAGAAGTGGGTAGCCACCATTTTCTGGCTTCACCTTCACTATTACGCACACTTTTCCAAAGAAAACTTAATTCCCCCTTTAAGGCAAATTTGTCGTTTACTGTAGTTCCTGTTATCACTAACATCTCAGTATCTTTGTTTTCTATTTCAGAGACCTGAAGCATTCATTCCTCCATAGGTGCCATTTGCACTTGAGCCAGTTACACTTGGACACAATAGAAAAAAAAAATAATCTGAAGAAGCTGGACATATCGAGCAGCATTCTCAAGTTTCCAACAACCAACACATTTGTGCACCTGAAATTTTCCAATGTGTTAATATTTAAACTGTTTGGCATCTAAGGAAAGGTTGATTTTGACTCAAGGACATTGTTTTTATGGAATATTGGCATTTCAATTTCTGTAGAAATTAATTGTTTTTCAGAGAAGTGGCATAAGCTCATCAAACAAGGTAGTATCAGCTGGCGGCACTTCACAGGACTTCCCATTTTCCATGCCTTCTGGTTTTGTGGCAATTTGTCATTTCCAGCGTGGCAAGAAATGGCAGGCCTTCAGTTCTGGCATGGTCACATTGTCCTTTATTTCACTCGCTTGGCACCAAACCTGCGTACTCCACAGCACAGCAGCGGCCTTCCTTTGCAGCGTGCAAAGACAGCTGTGCCTTGTTTTCCTTTTTTCCACTCTAGCTAAAGCAAGGAGGAGACAAACAGAAACAGTAGGCTATCTTTTGTCCGGTTTTGCTCACAGGTAGTCGTTTGTCCTGTTTCTTCATCTCTGGACCACACTTAAAATTTCCTTCTCCTTTGTGCACAGGCACAAATAACCTAATTGCTAATAGTTTCTTACTATTGACATCTATACTCCATATTCTGTGCATTATATATATTTCTGGAAACCCTGTTAGAAGCGCTACCTTTTCTAGGCCCAACTGGAAAACTAGAGGGTACAGGGTGAGCTTTACCTGCTAAACTAACTGGTACTGAGCACCTGTCAGCAATTCAAGTAGCAAAGTGAAAGAAGTTTATCCCTCTGTAACTTACTTTTCCCTCTTCTCTTCCCAAGATGGATTGCTGCAGTTGTGTTACTCTTACAAGTTTATGGCTAAAAGCATCAGTAATTTTTTAATTTTTATTTTTAAATATATATAGAGATATAAATATCTTCTAGGTTCTTACCTGCTGGCTCAGGGACTGACACTTTTTTCTAAATACACTATTGCTAGTAATGGTGTAGGTTATAAAAATTTCTACAAGAAAAACATTTCAGTCTTTTGATTTCCAAAGTATCACATCTGCGATCAGAAAAATCCCAGTTTTCTAGAGTGTGCTTACTTGTAGATGCAGGTTTGTACTAATACATTTCCTTACTGTCAATTTTTAAATGCTCTCTTGCACATATTAATAGAAGTTTGACTTCCATGTGTCTCATCTCATTTACAATTTTTATTGATCACGTTTCTCGTTAGTTATGTCTCAAGGCCCATTGATGTACCATATCTTCATTTATATGTGCTGTAAGAATTACTAAGAGAAAACAAATCAGAAACTTGTGTGATTAGTAACGGAATAGACATTCTTTTTTATTTTTTAATTTGTCTTTCGTTGCTTCATCTCCAACTGAACACGTATTTAACCAGTATCTAGCAAGCAATGGTTTCAATTGCGCGTGTGCTCCTAATTTAAACGTAGCTCAGAACAAGTTCTGAATGAGGTACTCAGGACAATTTTCCTTATTTATTTTTTACAAACCAGCGAACTGTTGAAGGACTATTCCTACATACTTGTGTTATCGCAGTTCCGATGCTGTAGTGTAATGAATTGACTGGCCAAATAGCAGTGCTGAAAACCGTAAAAACCTTTCTTTTGGAGAAAATAAGCGGCTGTAGGCAGAGCCCTTCCAAGCATGAAATTTGTCTGTGGCTCAACATCGGGCAGGAATTTTGATACGATTCTTGAATGTACCACCTTTGTTACCTTTCACCTTTTTACTCACTGCAGTATTTGCCCGTCTGTGCATCTGATTCAGTCTGGAGAGGCTCTCTGGAGGCATCTACCTCTCTTCTGCACAGGAAACTTTGTACCTAAGCTAGGTGTCTGAAGGAGTTGCTTTGTGTCGTCCCAAATACATAACCCATCCAAAAGGTAGTTACTTTTAACTCAGGTATGAATATTAGGTATTTTTCAGTGCCAGATTTGCATCTTTCTAGTTTTTTAAGCAAGACATAAAAATAGGAAGAAATGTGTTTCTGGCACTTAGCTAATCCTCTCACTTTTTGACTTGTCCTTACTACCCTAAAGGCAGATGCAAACAGACGCCCAGGCTCTACTGATGTTTACAGTATTTATACTTGGTGGTGATTTGGCCCAATTTTGAATGTAGCTTTCCGTTCCTGTGCTCCTTAACTGCCGCGGCCCTCTCGTATGAGCATGATTGTGTTTGTCTTGCACTGAAACACTTGAAAGCCGTCAGAGGGGGTTGCAGTACAGACATACCAGGTCTTTTCCCATTTTATTCCCTTCATTACCGGGCCATAATTTTTCAGGTCACTCAAGCAAACAAGCTGTTACAGTAGGTTTCTCCTGAAAAATATAATAGCTGTTCTTATAGCATCTTTACTGCTAAGCTGTTGTCCAACAGAAACTACGGCGGCTTGCATATCCCATCTCCCAGCGGCTTGTGGAACTAACTGGATCCAGAGCAGTAGGGTAGGGGACGCTCACCAGGCGATGACTTGTCAGCTACAGATTCCAATGGACTTCGCAAGACACAGGTTTTGGGACATACAGGAGGGAAAGAAAAAATACTTCAAGCTTGAACACACTGTTGGGTGCCAAGAGCTGGATGTGTAGGTCGGCATTAAGGGGGTAGGAGCCTGTTCACTTCGAGTCTGCCAGAGCCAGGCTCAGAACAACAAGAAGAAAACCCCCGGGAGCCCTTCTGCCCCCTGAGCTCCTGAAAGTGTGACTGAAGCATCACAACAGAGATACTTGCAACTTCAGAGAGCCTGGTCTCTTCTTTTGGTTCCAAACATGTGAAAACCTGATCTGAAAGCCTTCCGTCTGACTGCAAGACTGTACTGGGCATCAGCAGCTTTCAACTTGCAACTGGATGTCTTTTTTTAAATAAAAAGGATGCTGGTTTATTACCATGTCTTTTATTGTGATTAAGAAAGATTTGCAAAACGTCCTCATACACGCAATCGGTGTTTTAAGTCTCTGAAGCCTTCAGACATCATTTATTTTTTAGCAGACAAAAGCATCTGCAAGTTGGTTTCAAGTATAAATAATTTAATCACATGATTATTATTCTTTTAAGTTGGGTGCTTATTTAAAATCCTAGCGAATATCTCCTAGGGGCGGCAAACAAATGCATTGGTTTAAATGGTTCTTTGGTTTGCTGTGCTTCTCCAGAGTTCTTGGTTGTAGGCAAACATTTCACTTAAAAAGAGGTCATCAATAATGAAGCGAGATGAATTTTTACAGGCCGTCTCAGGAAATGGTTCATGCCAGGTCATCCATTTACTTCTGTTTCATAAGCTGCTGAGCAGAGTAAGAATTACACATGCTGCTCTGGTCGTTCTCATTAGTCCCTTCAGCATCTAGGACTGCCTGGGTTGACATTTTCAGTGTAGCTGTACTTACTGAAGCAGGTGACAACAACTATATTTACAGGAACTGGCTTTTAAGTATTTGTCTTCTAAACCAGGTCACCGCTGAAGTTTATTCTGCAGCCGAGTGTTACGTAAAATGGGCTGAACTAGAAAGCATAATCCCGGTTACTGTTCCCCCCTCAACTATCCTTCGGAAGGTTTTGGTCACTCGTTTTCATTTAGTCTAACAAATGCTTTATCCTGTTTTCTGCCACGTCTTCCCGCGCTGAGCCCTGCCGGCCACGCTTTGGTGTAGGTACTGGTCAGCTGGGGGGGTGCGCTGCCCTGTGCCACTGCACTCACCTCCTTGGTCCGGGGCATGGGCTTGTTACTACGTGTTACCCTAAAAGCTTGGGTGCTCTTTGATTCTTAACAGCTGGAAGAAACGTGATAATCTTGATCATTCAAATACTTACAAAAGAGTTACCAGAAATGAGTGACAGAATCCAAGCGCTAAGCTCTGCTTATTTTCTAGCTTACCAAAGGTGTTGCCATTGTAAGTTTTAGCTGATTCAGGAAATGCTATGTGTGGTACCAATTTATGCACCAGTTTACAGTGTGTTTTCAAAAAAACCCCAAACAAACCCAAAAAACAATGTCAAAAGCTGGTCCTTGTTCTACAGTATAATTTTGTCAAACCACAGGAGAACAGGCTCGACTGAAAGTGTATTTACTTATTGCAGGGCAGTGGGAACACTCAGAAGAAAGCTGATGGTGTATTTTCATACGCATAACTCATCTTTGATAACCTGCACATTTAAACACACCACTCCTTGAAAATAAATCATCAAATCTCCCATAAGGTTAGAGGCAGCGCAGGGCATATAGAAGCACTGAGACTGAAAAGAAGCAGGCTCTCCTTCTCCTTAGTTGTTTGCATACAAGAAAAAGCCACATTGCTTCTAAATGACAGCGTTTTGCTTTTAAAGAAATGATTTGCAGGTTATATACAGAAACAGAGTATCCAGATGTGAGAGGTGGAGCCTCCCGTCTTCGCGTGGCCAGCCCCACAAACCCTACGCTTCCATTAAGAAATTAAAAAATAATAAACCAAGAGCTTCTGAATACTCCCAGCAGTTTTGCTACGCTGTCTGTAGGGAAATGGTCTAGCAGAGCAGAAGTAGTCCTGTATCGTTCTTAAGACAACCCATTCGGTGCTATCACTATCAACCAATATCCAGGGAAGGATACTGCGGAAGAATAGCGTATTTTACATTTCCCTTAGAGCGAGTCCGGAAACAACTGGTACCCCAGATACCACCAGATGGTAGCTATTTGTAAATGACTTTTTTTCTGGTAGAAACAAACATGGCTAACATCACTTAAATATACACATATTAATGACCTTAAAGTGAAGTTCGTGCATTGTGAAGACCACAACGCCAGTACGTTCAGACGCAGATTTTGCCCCAAGGAACTGCCCCAGAGGACAGTATGTATCTTGGAAGAAGCCTCCCGCAGCGATGGGAAATGAGACGATGTTCTCCTTCATGAAATAACATTTCAGCTCTTCATTTTGATTCTAGAAGCTTTCACATACAACAGCGCAAGGCGCCATGGTCAAAAGCCTTGAAAAGTAGGCAAACTCCACCTCGGGACTACTACTAAGCTCGAGCTAACTACCCACTTGGAAGCAGGCAAAAGAGAAGAAAGTTTGCTGTGTCCCAAATTCCCACCGCTCGGAAAGCTACATGTCTGAGGAGCAGGCTCTCTTTCTCCCCTGGAAAAAGGAGAGGTCGCAGCTTTACAGCTGAAATATATAAGGAGCAGGAGAGGGGCCGACCTCAGCTCCTTAAAGGGAGGACCCCATTCACCCTAGTGTCATGTAGGGGTCTTGCTGCGGCCCTTTAATGTTCGCAGGTGATCAACCAGGCTGGACCAGAGTCAAAAGCTAAGACAAGACATTACTAGAGCAAGAAATAAATTAAAATAGGTGAGAGAAAGCGTTGAGGAAGAGATGAATAACTGCATGGCCACAGCAGGCTCTTCGAGCAGATTTTTTCCACCGGAGGCTGGACTGAGTCCAAAGGCTGCAGGGGTGATGTGTCAGCCGTGCTATGGAGTTTTACCCCTATCCCCACCGTCGTTTATTCACATCCGTACATTTGAGCACATTCAGCGGCAGCGAGGGGGGCCGGAGCATGGGCAGGGCTGATGGAAACGCTCACACCCTTAGCAGGCGGCTCTTGGCTGTGTCAGGGAGCAAACCCTGGCCACGGTAGGTACACACACAGCAAAAAAGGCTGACATGGGCAATGCGGTGGTTAA